GGCTTGCTGTGGAAGGCCACACCCCAGAGAAGCCCTTCCGATGACCAGCCAGGGCGTGTGTGCAGTACAGAAACTCACAAATCAGCATACCAATTTTGTATTATTTCTTGTCATGTGCAGTATCTCCTTTAAGTGATGTGTAACATGTAGCTTGGAGCTTTCTCTCTGTACTGATGGAGAGTGACCTCTGGCCTCCTTCCTCTCTTACACTGGAGCTTCAAGGCTAACAGACCGGGATTACTCTATCAACCTCTAAGCAATGACGTCACCATTCTCTTCCCATCATTCATCCTTAAGGGTCCTGAATGTCCTTACCCATGCCCTGGACATGCTGTGCATCTGCCTACTGCTCTCTCTTCTTGGCCGTCTGCACTGTGCCCAGATGAGGCATGGTGACAGGGGAAAGAGAGCCGGGAGCCGATCAACAGTCCAGAGGCAGAGTGCTGGGGGCAAGCTGGTGTGGGCTAGCACACTGCTTTGTGGCATCGCTATGTCCCCTTTGAAGGGATTCTTAACTGCAGAACGCGGGCAGCCATTGACCTCACAGCCCTCCAGCCTCAGCCTCCAGCGCTGGGGTTACAAGTGTGCACGGCAGCTTCTGCCTCTTCCTGTGTAATAATAGTGACAGGAGCCAAGACTTCTTTCCTGCCCCAGAGAGCTGTAAGAACATTCAGTGAGACTCCAGTAGAACCCCTGTCCTGAAAAGCATTGGGAGCTGGGATTCGGCCTCCATGGCTGAGCACTGCCTGGAGCACACAAGGCCCCGCTCAGTCCCGAGCACTACCAGGAAGGAGGAAGAGTAAAGGAAGGGAGACTTCCGGCTGTTTTATCAGATGAGAGGCTTTCATTGGGCCTTTGTGTTCCTTGTTTGTAAGAGCACTTTCTTCCTTGAAAAAAAAAATTAAATTTCCATTTTGAAAGAGGTTTACATGAGATAAATAAATTAATAGTGTATGTGTATGTAGTAAGTAGTTGAGCTCTTGCTATGACAAAGCAGCTTAAGGAGAGTAGGGATTTTTTTTTTTCAAACACGATTTCTTTATTGATTCTTTGGGAATTTCATATGCAATTTCACCTCCCAGTCCCCCCATATCATTCCCTCACCCCCACAGTGCACCTCTAAAAGAAATTAAAAAAACAAAACAAAACAAGCAAGCAAGCAAGCAAAAAAAAAAAAAAACAAGAACAAAACAAATTCAAAAAAAAAAAAAAAAACAAAAAAAAACCCTCTTCCCTGAGAGAAGGGAATCTTTTAGCTCACAGCTGCAGGATGCAATCTGGTGATGCTGAGGAAGGCATGGCAACAGTTGGTTAGGAAACTAGTTACCTTGTATCCGCAGTCATGAAGCCAGTCAGGATGCTAAGGAAAGCATGAGCATGGCAACAGTTGCTCAGGCAGCTGGCTACCGTGTATCCGCAGTCACGAAGCAGAAAGAGACGGATGCTGGTGCTCACTTCATTCTCCCCAGCCCGTGGAAGGGTGCTGCCCACTTTCAGGTGGGTCTCCCCGCTTCAGTGAGCCTAATCCAGACAATCCCAGATGTATGGCCAGAGGCTTGTCGCCTAGATGCCTGTAGATTCTGTCAAGTTCACAATCAGTGCTAGCCATCACAACATATGAAAATATTTATGTAGCTAAAAGATCACCGTTTCCTTCCATTTTCAAAGGAATTAACAAATTCCATGAACTATTGCAACTGTGTCTATCAGCCTTCAGTAAACAATGCATCTTGGTAGCCCTGCTTCCCCATTCCTCAATATGGTGAACACCCCTACCCCTCCACACATGGGCTGTACCAAATATCCTTTACATCCCTCCATTCTGCCCTGTGTTACCCAAGTTACCCAAAGGTCCAACTGTATAGCTTTCAGCTTCTCCATTCTGACCCCACCCTTCTACATTTAAACCCCCACCCTCAATAGTCACCTACCACCGAGTTGTGTTTCCTTAGGCTCTGATTCTTCTTTGGGCAAACTGACATTGCATTTTCTTGAGAAACTCTTCCACACTGAGATTTTAATGACGGTGACTGCCCCTTCTCAGCTGTGTTTGACTAGGAACTTTAAGAGATTTTATGCCACAATTTATGTACCTAGTAGAAGAATTTATCCTAGCAAAGGAAACATTTCAAAGATGTGAACTTTAAGCATCATTTAGATTATCGTGTTCAGGTAGTTCAACCCACATCTACTGTATTTGTATCTTCTGTCTTCGATGGATCTTGGTGCTACTGCTATGATTAAAAACCTCTAGAAGGTAGGATACAGCCTATTTCCAACATAATCCCTCCACAAAATTCTGTTTGTAGAGTGACATGCCTCAAAGGGTTTGTCTTGGTGAGTGTGTGTCTGTGTCTGTGTGTGTGTCTGTGTGTGTGTGTGTATGTGTATGTGTGTCAGTGTGTATGTGTGTGTGTGAGTGTGTGTGTCTGTGTGTGTCAGTGTGTATGTGTGTGTGTGGTGTGTGTGTCAGTGTATGTGTGTGTGTGTGGTGTGTGTGTCAGTGTGTATGTGTGTGTGTGTGTGTGTGGTGTGTGTGTGTGTGTGTGTGTGTGTATGTATGTCTTAAGAATAGGACCTCACCCCCCATGCATGCTAGGCACACACTCTATCATATGCTGCATCCGTAACCGTAACCCTCAGTTGAATCTCTCTGTTTTCATGGAAGCACACATCACCCTTTCCATCTCCATCTTTAGATAACCCTTCAGCTAAGGTTAGTGGCTGCCTTCAACCCTTACTTCCCCAGTGTTTAGTAGCCTCTAGGCTTGGGCAGGAAATGACCTCAAAGAAAATATTTTGTAGATGAGAGAAGTGAAATGTCCAGGCTGAGCTGACAAAGCAAGTTAATGTCAGAGTCAGATTCAGTGCCTGGCCCTTCAGTATGTGGATGTCCCTGCCATGCAAGTACTTGATTGGATTCCTAGTCCCATTGCTCACTATGTGTGGGACCTGGAATTGTTACTCAGTCTTTAAACTCACCTTTTCTTTTCTAGAAAATTGAGGGAAAGGATACAAATACTGAAAGAACACTAAAAAGACATAATTTGAAGGATCTGAGAGCTATAAGACTATTTACCCAGGTGAAGATATTGCTTAGATCAATGTCTGCTGCAAATGTACTGAATAAATGATCATCGGTGTTGCTACTTCCAGACCCAGGGTGACAATTGCTCCTTCTGAGCCTGCTTCTGTGACCCTTCAGCGCACAGAGAGGGACGGGCAGCATCCCAGTATGTGCAGGCTTGGAGGGGGTGGCTGGAACAAGAGAAGAATCTGATGGAACAAATTTTTAATGTTTTTTTTTTTTTATTTTGTGTTTTTTTTTTTTTTAATAGTGGAAAGTAAATCAAAGATGAAAATGCAAACCTGGAAAAATATTTGATTCCATTGTTTTTTTACGGGGTAAAAGAGTCTTCAAACACTGTTCATTCTGAAATGACACCCAAGCAATATAGCTGACTCTCTGGGCTAGCCTCTTCTCTACCCTAGACACTAACTACCCCTTCACGTGGGGTTGCCTGGCATTATTGTGTGAGCCAAAGAAGACAGATGGCAGAGAAGGCTGGGGAAGCCCTGCCCTGGCTGCAATTTGCTCATCACTGATGGTGATAGACTCTGGAGGGACAGGGTTAGAACACTTGGTTAGTAACAGTAGCGTCATCACACTAACGAGCAGACAGGAAGTCACTCTAAAGATGGCACCGTGTGTCAAGGATTTCAGAGAAACTTGAGAGATTTTCTCCACTCTGTTTCCTCTCTCTGAAGCCAGCCAGCGGCTCTGCCACAGCTCCCAAGTCAGTGAATCACTAAGCAGCCAGACTAGTGGCTCCCGTCTACCTATCCCCAAGTCTGCAAGCTCAATGCACAGCCCACTGGCCCAGCATGGGTCAGGTTGCTTTCCTGTTAGCAGTCAGCCATTGTAAGCAAGCCCCCAAATAAATGCTTTCTTTTTTTAAGGGTTGCCCTGGCTATGGTGTCTCTTCACAGCTGTAGAACACTAACTAAGGCCGCAGAAGAAAAAGGTCTCATTTAATAACTGCATGTCCCCATAGTATTGTCCCTTCCAGCATGAACGGGCCCAGAGTTGTGGGCACCCAGACATCCGAGGTCTTAAGTGAGGAAGAAGGATCTGGGAAGAACCTGGATGTGGCAAAGGCTGGGCCCAGAGAGTAACATATATATGTATTATGTAGCTCGTCACAGACCTAAATGCAAAATAATAGAATTACAGAAAGAAAACTCCATGAATGATATTCAGAAAGTCTTCTTGGGCCTGAGAGACATTCTAACTTGTTTAGAAGATGCCAGTGAGTGTGAGGTTGAACTTGGGAAGGAATATAAAAAGAACCTGGAAGTTGGTGTTTCCCAAGTTGGTTAAACTGTGAGCACTCTGAGTATTTAGCTGCCTAAGGTAGTGTGTGCATGTGTGAGAGATATTTTTCTCTATCCCAGTTAAAGAAGACAGCATGCTTAGGTACTGGGAATAACTCCTTGTGTATTAGAGGAATAATACTCTTCTCCTATTAACTTCTGTGTCAATCACAGGGATTGCCATGGCCCCTAAACTAATTTCATTTTCTTCTGTGTATCCCATTTCATTCCAGACTAGGTATCCTTGGAGGAACAGATATTTAAATTTGGTGTTGTAGGTAGAAATTATAACTCAGGTCATAGAGTGTTTGCCTAATATGAATAAAACTATGGGCTCCATACCCAGCATCACAAAAGCTGGATATGGTGGTAGACACCTGTAATACCAGCCACTCGGAAGGTGAAAACAGGAAGATCAGAAGTTCAAGGGTATCTTCAGCTATGTAGCAAGTTTGAAACCAACCTGGAATAAATGAGAGCCTGTCTCCAGAAACCAAAATAATTTTTTAATTAAAGAATTAAGCATTGAGCATAAAGTCATAAAGTATATAACACCGCTCTTGGCTAAAGGTATAATTGAATTGAAATCTTAAACATGTCTGTTTTATTTCCTTTCTGTCTTTCAGCTCCAGGGATCCTTGAAAAGAAAACAAATAATCAACCTGCCTCCTGCCAACAGCAAGAGACCCAATGGCTTTGTTGACAGCTCATTCCTTGACATCAAAAGGATCAGGGTTGGGGAGAACCTTTCTACAGGGCAGGGGGCCCTCCCAGTAAATAATGGACAAAGTCATATGATGCCGGGGGCCTTGACCATGAGCCAAGCACCCCTGAGGAAGGCTAATGCTCTGCCGCCTCCTGCACATTCTCCCGGCAACACTATGTTTAACATGGGCTTAAAGGAGGTGAAGAAAGAGCCTGGGGAGACCCTCTCTTGCAGTAAGCACATGGATGACCAAATGACGCAGGAAAGTGCTTTTACTAATAGGTTTGGGGAAGACGCTGGCGAGCAGCTGATGGACCCTGAGCTGCAGGAACTATTCAATGAGCTGACCAACATATCAGTGCCTCCCATGAGTGACCTAGAGCTGGAGAACATGATCAATGCCACCATTAAGCAGGATGACCCATTCAGCATTGACTTGGGGCAGCAGAGCCAGCAGACTACACCTAGACCGTCCCTGGCCATGGAGAAGATCATTATCAAAAGTGAATATTCACCTGGTTTGCCACAGGCCACTTCAGGCTCTCCACAACTGAGACCCCCATCAGCAGGCCCTGCATTCTCCTTGGCCAACTCTGCCCTCTCCACTTCATCCCCAATTCCCACAGTCCCTCAGAGCCAGCCTCAGACAGCGTCCGGAGCAAACAGGGCTCTGCCAAGCTGGCAGGAAGTATCTCATGCTCAACAGCTCAAGCAGATAGCTGCAAACCGCCAGCAGCATGCACGGATGCAGCAGCAGCAGCAGCAGCAGACTCCTCCCAGCTGGCCAGCCTTACCATCCTCTGCTGGCCCATCCCCAGGGGCATTTGTGCAGGAGAAAATCCCCAGCCCTTCCTTTGGGCAGCAGCCATTCAGCCCCCAGGGGTCACCCATGACTGCAGTAGCTGGCAGTAGCAACCAGTCCAAAGCAGTGGGCAACTATGCATACAAGGCTAGCCCCTCAGCCCAGGCTGGACACCTGGATGTTCTTCTGCAGCAAAAGCCTCAGGATCTCAGTCGAAGTTTCATTAACAACCCACACCCAAGCTTGGAGCCCCGACATGGCAACACCAAGCCTTTGTTCCATTTTAACTCAGACCAAGCAAACCAGCAGATGCCTTCTCTTTTGCCTTCCCAGAGCAAGCCTTCTCTCCTGCACTACACCCAACAGCAGCAGCAGCAGCAAGGCTCATTGGTAGCTCAGCAGCAGCAGCAACAGCAACAGCAGCAGCAGCAGCAGCAGCAGCAGCCACAGAGCTCATTGGTAGCTCAGCAACAGCAGCAACACCAACAGCAAGGCTCAATGGCAGCTCAGCCACCACCACCGCCATCCCAAACCCAACCTTTATCAAGCCAGCCTTTGCTAAGGTCAGCCCTGCCAATTCAGCAGAAAATCATGCTTCAGAAAATGCAGAATCAATCCATCGCAGGCATGGGATATCAAGTCACTCAGCAGCACAGACAGGTAAGACTCTACCCCAGAGCTCCCACAGACAATTAGCTTGGTTATTATGGCATACCCTTATGCTTGTAGTGAGACATGATTAGCACCGTATACCCAATGGTCCTAGCAGGCTCATAGGAGCTTGGTTCTCTCAGTACATCAAGGGCAAGCATAATGTTTCCTTATATGCTGTCATTGCTTATGGAGCCCTGTAATGATCAACAATTCTTAGAGCGAATGCCTTGGTGATGTGTCCAATTGCCAACCAGGTCCTGATATGCTTGGTGTTCATTCATCTAACCAGAAAATTAGATCAATATGCATTGAACACTACTATACAGGAGACATCGTGGCTAAGGTTGAACATTGGATACGGTTAGAGGTGATGCTGAAAGTGGTCACTGACGTGGCCAACTGTTGCGTTCCGTCCCCAGTCTCGCCAATAGATCCCACATGACTCAGTGCTCACAATCTGTTCACTGGTCCCAAACCTCAAGCATCATCTAGAGACAGAGCCAAGCGCCTTGAACTGTCACTCTAATGCTGCATAGGAAGAGCAATGACATGAGAACTCTAAAGTCTTCCCCAGCAAGTGGAGATCAGGAATGGCCTTCATAAGGAATTATGCCTGGGAGGAGTGTTTAAAGGGCGCAATAATCATGACCATAGCAAAATAAGGAACTAGAAGTAGAAATAAGTCCATAGTTGTCCTGTGTCCTTTGGTTTTACATTAAATAGATGTTTAATTCTACCCTGGTTTAAAAAAAAAAAAAAAAAAAAAAAACTGGTGTCAAGAAATCAGTCACTCCTCCAGAACACCAGAATACTGGTGAGTAAGCGCTGGTAGAGGAATCTCTTCCTGGAAGGAAGGAAGAAGTTTGGATATTGCATTGTTCATATTGTTGGCAGGTGTGCATTACCATAGGGCAGCAAGTTGTACGGTAGAGAACGGGAAACCACAGGCTACCAGTTGGAAAAGTAAAAGATTTGGCCTCCCAAGGTGGTGTGTGTGTGTGTGTGTGTGTGTGTGTGCGTGTGCATTCTAATTATGAGCCATGGAATGGACTTGGGTAGACTTGTATATATTTTACAACACTAATATAGCATAATAGTCATACAGTACTTTTATAAAACAGACCATTCCAGATAACTTAAAAAGATATCAGAGAACTTACTTCCAGCATCAGATGCCAGCATTCTGTCCTGGAAGATCATGGGTTCAAATTCTCCCTTGACACTGCTTGTGTGCCTCCTTAAGCCACTTGCAGAATCTGCTGGGCTTGTAAATGAGACCACACAATAAGTGAGGATTATTCTCGTTCGCATGTCAAGCGCTGTAAATAATCAGAATATTTCCTCTAAGGAAGTAAGGACACATGATGAGGAGATCTCAGATTACCACACTCCACACTAAGGACATGAATTCTGACATGTAAAGAGTACTGCAGTAGCCAGGCGGTGGTGACACACGCCTTTAATCCCAGCCGCAGAAGGCAGAGAGAGGCGGATCTCTGAGAGTTCAAGGCCAGCCTGGTCTACAGAATGAGTGCCAGGACAGCGGAGGGTACGCAGAGAAACCTGTCTCAAAAGACAAACAAAGAAAAAAATTTCCTGCAGAAATAATTGGCAACTGCTGCTGGTTCTTCAGCTACCCAACACTGTGCCAGGTGTGTAACAGGTCAGTCTCTCTGACCTAGATTTACAACCATAGAAACAATCACTGATTAGATAGTAATCACACACACACACACACACACATCCTACAGGGAGGCTGACTGCCATCTCTCTGGCTTGAAGTGCCTCATTTAACTCCTATAAGGGAAATATTCCCATCTTACAGGTCAGAGAACTGAAGCACAGACAAGCTCAACAAACTTGGGCGATCCAAACCAGGCCTAGGAGTCTCATGGACTGCTTCTGAGTCATGGCGTCCAGCCATGAGGAAATGCAGCTCATGGGTAGGATTTTCTGGGAAATGAATGCCATAGTAGATCATTATAAGGACTGTCAAGAAACTATTTTTTCTGATATTAATCCCTGGTAAAATAAACTGTTAAAAGATTAGGTTCTCTGGGGGACAGAACATCTCTGACTTCTTCCCTTCAGAGCTGTTAACAAAAGGATTTTTTTAAAAAATCTCTGTCAGCCTCGAGCTTCTGATGATGAGCCCTGTGCAGCCAACAGTCAGTACTGCACAGTGCTCCCCCAGCATCCACAGTCAGTACTGCACAGTGCTCCCCAGCATCCACAGTCAGTACTGCACAGTGCTCCCCAGCATCCACAGTCAGTACTGCACAGTGCTCCCCAGCATCCACAGTCAGTACTGCACAGTGCTCCCCCAGCATCCACAGTCAGTACTGCACAGTGCTCCCCCAGCATCCACAGTCAGTACTGCACAGTGCTCCCCAGCATCCACAGTCAGTACTGCACAGTGCTCCCCCAGCATCCACAGTCAGTACTGCACAGTGCTCCCCAGCATCCACAGTCAGTACTGCACAGTGCTCCCCCAGCATCCACAGTCAGTACTGCACAGTGCTCCCCCAGCATCCACAGTCAGTACTGCACAGTGCTCCCCCAGCATCCACAGTCAGTACTGTACAGTGCTCCCCCAGCATCCACAGTCAGTACTGCACAGTGCTCCCCCAGCATCCACAGTCAGTACTGCACAGTGCTCCCCAGCATCCACAGTCAGTACTGCACAGTGCTCCCCCAGCATCCACAGTCAGTACTGCACAGTGCTCCCCAGCAGCCACAGTCAATACTGCACAGTGCTCCCCCAGCAGCATCTCCATCTAGTCCTAGACTCACTGCTGGTATCACCAGCTGTGTACACATCTTCAATCTCATCCTTCCAAGTTGCCAAGGCCCAAGCACACCAATGCATGCTGCCAGCCAAATCAGCAACCATTTCCCAGGTTGAGACTACTTCCACATTTCTCAATGAGTATGCTAAGAAAATATTCATCTTTAAAAACAACCTTAAGACGTGGCAGACAAGCTGAGAGCATGTCAGGCTAAAGGTCTGTCTCTCACACAGCAGCCAATGGCTTTTCACTGAATGGTTCGTCTCGACTTATTGGCTTATCAGGACTCAAAAAAATTTTATTTCCCAAGATCTTCCCTCTTGAACTAAAAATGCATTCTTTCCCAAAGCCATATGGCCAGTTGCCTGAATGTGTGAATTTTTCTGTTCTAACACTAGATCTATGCAACTCAAATGGATTCTATATTTGGTTTAGAATCCTCCATGTCTAAAACTCCTAGGAGGGAATTCAGCCAGTGAATGGATGGTTTGTTGTGACTGAAACACAAATTTATACATTCCCCTTTAGTAGAAAGCCAAGTTCCTCAATCAAATCCTAGAGTCCCATCCTACTCTCTGTACCTAGGAAGTGAAGAGGATCCTCCACACTTCCTATCAGCCAGCGGTGTCAATCAAGCAATAGCCTGCCCCCCTTCCCACTTTTATGGTAATTTCTCATAGGCCTTAAATACAAAGACCCAGAAAATTGTTTCCAAGATGCACCAAGTACTGGAGGAAGAATCAGCTTAGGTCTTGTATTCGGACAATACCTGTAAGCCTTAGTAGCCAATGAACATGCAGACAGGAGATAGAAATTTTGCATCAGATAAAACTCCCTTCTCAATGAAAAATCATCTTGAATTCAAATTTTATAGAATATAACACCAAGCCTCTGCTGGAGGCTGGAGGTTGTATGAAGGGTCATCAAACTAGGCCAGCACCAGGAACTGGGTTTTGAGACAAGACCCTGGTTAGAGGAAGAAAAGAGTGTAAAGGATGAACAGCCTAGGACGCTATCAGTAGAGAAACAGAGGCAGTGGCTGCCTCTGGCCAAAGGTGAATGTAAGGGCTGAGATCTGGGAAGAAGATAGGAGAGAGCATCAAGAGCAGCTAAGCAGTCACTGCCGAGGGTCTGTGGCCACCTACTGACTTCAGTTATGAAGCACCTTGGCTGCATCTTGCCAAGCAGAAAAAAAGTTGCCACAGGCTAATCGTGGGCTATCATTGGCAGGCCAGAAGCTTTACATTCACATCTTCATTTTATCTTTGCTATTTTGTCATTTATCTTTGAAGCTGACAAAGAACGGTTTTGTTTTAATTCTCCACGAAACTAATGCTTAGACCAAAATACAAAATTAATTTCCAGCTGAGCAAGTGCTTTAAGGTTTCAGAACTTGGGGGGAATTCAGTGACTTGCCTTCTCCACGGGCCTTTCAGTTTCCTGCTTTGACCCAGCGGAAGTCTAGAGTCAAGGATGCCAGGCTAAACTCAGATCTGGTCCATTCTTAACATTACCTTGAATTCAGGCGCCCATTCATTACAAAGGCGTGGGATGCCTACTGTGTCCCAGGCACAGTTTTGGTTGCACCACAACTGAGAGCAAAGATGAAGTATGGGATCAGTGATGGGGGCTTGAAAAGTTCCCTCTCCTTAAATAAGCGTGAATTTTTTTTAACGAACCATTTCCTTCGTATTATAAGCATGCCCTTCTACAGTTGCTCGTCTCATGGGTTGTATCCCAGATAAAGATGACAAAAGAACAGTGTGTGTGTGTGTGTGTGTGTGCGTGGTGTGTGTGTGTGTGTGTGTGTGTGTGTGTGTGTGTGTGTGCGTGCGTGGTGTGTGTGTGTGCGTGGTGTGTGTGTGTGTGTGTGTGTGTGTGTGTGTGTGTGTAGGGATGTGTGTGCAAGTGTGCATGCATGTGGCAGCCGGCAGCCAGAACTCACCCTCCGGTGTTGTTCCTCGGCCACTGTCCTGTCGCGTAGGCTGGCTTGCCAGAAAGCCTCAGGGACCCCGCTCCCACCACATCCCTAGCTTTGGGATTCCCAGCACACCTGGATTGTCACATGAGTCAAACTCAAGTCCTGATGCTGCTGGCAGAAAACAGTTCCCCAACGGAGCTGACTCCTCAGCCCGCAGCTTCATTTTCAATGCAAAGATTGTGAGATTATTTAGATGTTTTGAATGACAAGGAAAAGCCTTCCATCCTTTCGCTCCA